TTCTCTCTTTTTTAAGACAGGGTCTCATGTATCCCTGGATGACCTGGAACTGACAAAGTAGCCAAGGATGACCCTGAACTCCTGATCCTCCTGCCTCTACCTCCCAAGTGCTGTGCTTACAGGAATGCACTGCCATTCCAGGTTTTATGCCATGCTGTAAATCAAACCTGGAGAGAGCTACATGCATACTCGCAAGCACCCTTCCCAGCTGAGTCATATCCTGGCTCCAGGATATAGATTTTTGGCATTCATATAGCTGACCATAGGATCACACTGGGAACCACCCATCACACAACCCGTGTATCCTGTTGACATATTCTGTTACTTGTAATAAATAAATATTTCATATTACCATGATTTTACTTGTACGTGGCTTTGTGTATTACCTATGCCATTTTTTTGCATTTTGTCATTTCAATATATTACATTATGTTCAAGTTTTGGGGGGTTAATACTTCTTCTTTTTTTAATGTAGTGGAAAAAGCTCATTGTTGAAAGAAATTCCAGGGCCTCTCTCTTTGGTTGGCCTTGCTCCCTGGCCAGCTGGGAAGAGGTCCAACATTAGAAACGTCTTTATTAGATGAAAGAACGGTGGAGGAGGTGACAGGGCCCCAGAAGCCCGCAGCTTGCTGTTGGGCACAACTATCGTGTTCCTTCTACTGCCTATCTCTTATCAGAATTCCTCTGTCCCTTCTCAGGAGGACCTCTGTCCTTGGACCCTGTGTCATCCCATGCAGAATAGCTCTCAGGAAGTATTTGTTTAGAGAAGTCAAGCTGGACAGGAGCCGTATGTAGCCTGGGAAGAGCCATGAGCATGAGCATTGGAGGCTGGAGATCGGCCTTTCATACATATTATTTCTAGCTTGTAACAGACACCCATTAAACTCTATTGTCTTTCACACGGCTGACCCTATTCCCTCCAACTACGTTCTTCTTCCTTGGACTTTGTGAAGTTATACCCTCCTTGGCAATGATCTGTCTTAATAATTCTCTCTCTGTTACCAGACTCCAGAGAAGGGAGGGCCTCAGGCTTGGGCTGGAGCCTGCCCTATACAATGATCAGTCTTAGTTTATCATATCAAATGCTCTTAAGAGCCTGTTAGGGGCATCCCAGCTAAACTAAAGTAAAGATGGAATTCCTGAACACTTTGCATGGGAAGCCCAGAGGCAAAACTGCACCACCAGACTCCAAGGACTGGAAGCTGAGGCTCGCTGTTGGCTTTCCTGGGGAGGAGAGGTCAGTTTCCATGGTGCAAACAAACTAACACTCCAACCAGCTAAGGTTGCCTGCAGCACAGAGCTCCTAGCAAAGACAGTAAGTATTTTAATCTTAGTTCTTTTTTTAAAATTAAATGAATCATACTTATCTCAAGCATATACTACTGACTACCTTTTAAGCCAAGGCACGTTTACATGAAGGACTGGAGTTCAGCTATACTTGATCAAATTCATAGATTCATGCAAAGGAAGTTTGCTAAATTTCAGTAGTTATAGATGGATTAGTGAACTCAGGTCAATTCTCATCCACAAACACTGGGTATGTTTAAAGCCTCCAATTCAGTGGGTTCTCTACATAATTCTTCCGAGGCAGTGTTTCTCACTGAACTTCTAGTCATCTATTCTGCTAAACGGCTGGCCAGTGATCTCCAGAGATCTGCCTGACTCCAGCACCCCATCTTTGAGATAACAGTCACCAGTCGCAGCAGGCTTCCTTTCACATGGGTTCTGGGGCCCTGAACTTGGGTCCTCATGTTTGTGCAGAGAGTCCTTTAGCCACTGAGCCACTTCCCCTGGCCCTAGTAAGTCAAATTTAAAAAGTGAGATGCAGAGGTTTGGGGGATGACTTAGCAGGTACCGGTAAAATGCTTGATGCCTATGTAAACGCTAAGTGTAACTCCAGTGGCCCATTGGTAATCCCAGTTCTCAGGAGGCAGAGACGGGAGACCCCAGGGAAAACTGGCTAGGCAGACTTGCTAAATCAGTGATCTATGGCTTCAAGAGTAACGTGTAAGGTGGAAGAAGATTCTCAACCGCTGGCCTCCATATGTTCTTTCATGCACATGCATGCATCACACAATGCAAGCATGCATCCCCACACTTGGCCAAAAAAAGGTTAAATGCTGTGTATAACAAAGCACATGCAGAATGCCTGCTTCTTGCCACACACTTAATCCTTGCCTTACATAATCAGAGACTCTGCTCTGCCTGGGTCAAGGGCAAGGGTCTTTGTTCCCAACATTCCACTGGTGATACTCAGTACCCCCTCTAATGAGAGGCACCATTCCCTTCTTGCTGTGTCCTGCAGGTCTCCAACCTTGCTCCCTGCCCTCTGCCCCCTGCTTTCCATTCAGAGAGAAGCTGCCATCTAGTCTGGTGAGTGGCTAAGCCTATACTGAGGGAGCTCATCACACATGCAGAATTCCAGGTCTTTTCTACTGATGAATGAGTCAGAAACACAATTAAGCCATTTTCCTAAGTGGGCGATGTAGACAGAAGTTGGCAATTTGTGATCATTAGGCCAAACCCCTTTCGTGTTTGAAGACTTAACAGTCATCGAAGACATCAGGCTTCATAGGTTGGCTCTAGGAGACTCTGAGGCTGACCCCAATCTTGACCCCAATCACCTGCTTGCCTAGCCCTCACTATGCTTGTTTCCCCCCTCAGATCCTTCTGATTGCAGTGGTGAAAGATCCTAAATGGTTTTGAGGAGCACAGTATTGAAACCAATGATTGGCTACTCCGTGATTAGGGAGAAGGTTCTTATTGGGGGATAAGAGAGAAAACAGTCAGAAACATCTGGAAGAAAGAGTCCAGAGCTGAGAGACAAAGAAGCAGACTGGGCATGGCTAGGGCTTGGGAAGCAGGAATGGCAGAGAATAGCAAGAGTGGGGCGAAAACCCTGCTGATATAAAGAGAGCATGGTGTGTGTGTTTGTGTGTATGTACATGTGTGCATGCATGCCTGTCTGTGTCTGAAACAGTCTTGGGAGAGAGGTGAGAAAGGCAAGAAGTCTAGTCAGGCTGTGAGCTATCTGACAAGTACATGTGAGGAGGGGCTGAAGGAGCCTGAAGGCTGCCATGGACTTTTAAACACAATCACACTCATATGTCAATGGAGAGCCAGAAGCAAGGGAAATGACTGTTTCAGCAGATTGGAACCAGTTTCACAAGTTCCTGAGGAATACTGGCTTTTATCTAACCACCAGAAATTCTTCTGTAGTCCAGGGTGGGCTGACTCTAGACTCAATTTTGGAACCAAGTCAGTGGACTGGCCCTTTTAGGGGGAAATGGCACAAGCGTTAAAGGTCTTGGATGGGGTTTAAGAGGGACACCGAGTGGGATTGAATATGTGCTATTTTACTAGAAGAGGATTATTGTTGCCATGGATGACAGACAGGTAGTAAAAATGGCAGGAATCTGAAGTTGGGCCCCAACAGGTGACAGACAGCATGGCAGGGTCTCTGGAGAAGAGTCAGAGCCCATGTGACACAAGTAGGGCCTTTTCTTATTGCCGTTCTTAGGATGGAGGACGTTTCACAGCACAAACCTGTAGCCAGGCTTTCATACTCATAGGTGGGAGGCAGAGAAGGGCTGAGGAGCAGTATGTGTGTCCACCTTTGCCGTAACTCACTGCCAGGAATGAGAGATGCAGACATCTGAAAATCTGTTAACTAGGGACTCACAGACATCGTCTGGATCTGGAGCCTGGAGGTATCTGTCAAAGGGGCTTCCGCATATTATTGTGGCCAAAGCAGCAACAGCTGGATTTAAACATCACCCTTGCATAACCTATCAGTGGTCCAAGTGCAAGTAGCTCAACACTGGTCAGCTGTTAAGTTGAAATTGTTAGCCCCTGGGAGGAATGTGGTCTCCGGAGGACCTTGTAGCTCTGGGGCCGAAAGGAGCCTGACCATTTCAGTGACCAGCTGCTTCCTCCGCATGCCTGTCTTCTTTGTCCTGAGAATGCTGACAGCTGCTGGGTGCTGGGTCAAGCAGAATGCACATCTACCACAGGCACAATGAGTAAAGGGTAGAACAGGAATCCTTCCTCTGGCTACATAAGCAGCTTTTAAGTTTCTATGAAGTAGCCTCTACTTGGTTTCTCTGTGTTTTAAAAGTGATTTGCTGTCTGATCCTTTGTGGGATAAAGTTGTTGAGCCCTAGTCTACACATTGACATTGGCAGCTCTTACCCTTTGCAGTGGGTGCCTTCCAGTTGCGGGATCCTCCTCTGCCACCAAAATAATCCTCATTCATCTCGTCTGGATCCAACCTAGGGCTGTGACAGGACAGCTCTGTTTACTTCCCAGTCGTAGTGACTGGGTCTTTTGAATCGTGTTTACTTTTCTGGTTCTCTGGCTGTAGGGTTGCTCTTACATTTGATTATGCATCAGACACCACACCAGGATCCTTGGTCCCGGTCCTACAGTTTCAGGTTAAGTAGGTAGATATTGAGCCCAATAATTTGAATTTCTAATGAACCTCTGGAGCTGCTGGTATTGACAGTTTGGAAGGTAGACTGACTTTCCAGTTCGCAACAATCTTGAGATCTAGGGCATGCCCCCAGTGGGTGCAAGTTAGGCAACTGCCTGCTGCAGCGTCCTATCTCTACTCTACAGGGACTCTGAAGTAGGAGTAGGAAGTCACACTGGATGTTGGGTGGAGGGCACACTGTAAAGTGCCA